TTTTTTTTTTATAAATGCACTTGTTTGACCTTTAAGTGCACTTGAGAATAAGGAAAGATGTGATATATACGTCTGATCGGTATCGCGTCAGAAAGAGGAATACTTTCTTCATTTGAATGTTACTTTGTTCTTAATTCATTTTATTTAAAATAAAATAATGAATTATAATTATTTAAAACAAAAAAATTTAATTTCAATAGTTTTTCTTTTATTTAATTTTTTTAAAATACTAATATTATCTCTTAATAGTTATAATACATTAGCGATAGTTGTTTATTTATTTATTTATTTCGAAGGAGGACGATAGATCGATGTGTATTAAGAAATTCATATTAACTGGAACTAACAAACAATATAATCTATTTTGGCTGAACTATATCTATAAAAAAGGTTCATTTCCATCAACTTTTTTGCATTTGCTGTTGCTGCTATTGCTACAGTTGTTGTTCTCGTTGTCATTGTCAATGTATTATTATTTTCGTCTTGCGATTGGGTATTATGTCGTTACAAACATTTGAACAGGCACTTGGTAAAATCATCGATGGGAAATATGATGATGCATATTTGGTAGGTGATGAAAAAATTGTTTTTATTATTATTGTTATAGTATCTTATTATAGCTTCTCACGCAACTCATTGTAGAATGTGATGCCGACGATTATTTGACCAAGTCGAAATATTTATGTTATAGGGCAGAGTGTTTGTTAAAATTAAAAATTTATGATGGTAAATTAACGTACATCAGATTATTTCAGTCGTGATTTGTTACGTTTTCTTTTGTTTCAGATGCACTTGCTGATTGTGTTCAGGCTTTGGTGTTGGATGAAAATAATTTGTCGGCACATTTACGAAAAGGTATATCATTGTACAACTTAAACCGACTAGATGAAGCTCTTCATTGTTTTTCATTTGGTCTTAGTAAAGATGGTATGTCGTTTATAGTTGGTTTGATACATCTATTAATTTATTTCTTTGTTTCTAGGTACAGATGAACAATTACGTGAATGGTATCATAAATGTGAAAATGAATTAATTGGTAAAATTTCTATTCATTTTTAAAAATAATTTTTGTTTTCTTTCTAGCTCCACAATCTTCACAACAATCTATTCCATCGATTAAGTAGGTTCATAATCTATTATTTGTACATGTAACGTTTGTTTTCTTTTTGTTTTATAGTCAAAATAATGTCGTACGACAGGCTCAAGGACAAGTAATATTAAACTTTTTTTTTCTAGTTTTTGATTATCTCCCTCAGAATAAAAGCCCACTGAGCGAATAGGTGGCAAAACATCGAAAGTCAAAGCATCGAAATGCAAAATATCGAAACTAACTTTTTTCAAAAGTCTTAATAATAAAGCAGAAGCCACAGATTTTTCCCTCATCCACACTATCGGACTGTGTGCTCATTGTAATTCAGTCGTTTGTTTATGAAACGCTTGAGCAAGACCCGGATATTGTGGTTACAAAGGACACCGCCGGATAAGTCCGTAAATCTGGCACCTCCCTAGACATCATTCCAATAGTTCTAAAAAGAAAGCCCATGGATTTTTAAGCGGTTTTGTGATTTCTTTTCTTCGATTTCTTTTTCCGAAAGTGATTGATATAGAGGTATTCTATCTGACGGATGCTCTCCTTTTATACGTATTTTCTCGTCATAACATATTTGTTTTATCACTAGTGAAACTTGCACATGGCTTGATTGTTTTCTTAACTGTCATATACCAAAAGATGCAGCTAATTTTCTTCTACAAAATGACTACAAATGATCGATACTTTAGCGAAATAAAAAAATGAAAATCATGTAGGTCAATAAAAGATACTCCATTTAATTTTTACTGTGTTTTTCTTAAAATCTAGAAAAAAATAGATACAGTGTAGTGCACCGTTCTTTCTTAGAATTTGAGTGATACGATTCAAACTTTCCCAGAAATTGCCACCTGAAAAGCTCTTCCAAATAAACGAATTTGGATTGAAGAAAACAACTGTCCAAAAGGATCAAATGCTCGCGTACGTGTTAATTATTGACATATTTTGCTTAATTTCCAGTATGTTTCTATTAAGAAAATCCTCGAAGAGTCACATCACATAAGACAAATTCTATCTAATATAAATCAACTAGTTCGTCTCGGGTCGAATCGGATTGGATCACTAAAACTGTGACACGTATCAAACACTGCTATCCTCCTCAATCAATACATTTCGAATACCAAAACATTTTTGGTCATTTTAATTTCGACATATTCTTTGCTTACTTTCTATCTGACCTCTCTGGTCATATTCTGATGTACATTATTTGAAGAAATCGCATAATCTTCTTTAAATTGATAAAATCGAATATTCTTATTAATCTTTCTTTTGAAGTATAAGGAATTTATTCGTATCTGTTTTTCATTTCGAAAGAGCATTTAGGAAAAAAGTAATATCCAACATTTAACAACATCAATTAAATTAATAGTTGATTAAATTAACTTTAATCATTTTGATTCTAGACCGTCGATGGATCATCAACAACACCATCGACAACACCAACGGCAACACCATCGACAACACGAACACCATTAGGTCATGTTGGTAAGTTTGATGAAATACTTTTCTGGTTTTGTTAGACATACGTTGGATTCAAATCATACGAGTTAAATAAGACAGACTTTGTAGCTCCACTGATTTCGAGTTTGATTTAAGATTTAATCTAAGATAATGGATTTAATCACCGAACTCAAGGTCCATATAGCTCAGTGATGTATTAAAGAAGAGACAATTTTCTATGAACAAAGAATAGTAGAAAGTCTGAATAATGCCTCATAAAATACTCATTAATTTACTGCACAAACATCTTTCTCAATAAAATCGAGTCCTACTAGACGTACTAGTGTTTAGTATGACGACCTAATAGCTGATAAAATGTTGATTAGACACATGCTTGAATATATTTAATAGCAAAACATGTTCAAGCTTGCGTTTCTTCCAAGAAAATTTAATTTATTGAAGTAAAATTGAAATGAATCGTTAAACATTTATATTGGGTATAAACCTACTTTTTTTGTAAAGACATACTAAGTTCGTAGAAATATAGGCTTTTAAAAATAAATTTTAAGAAATCTACTATGAATAAGTTTTTGTAGGTTTCTCTCGTGTTTTGAACGGGTAAACGCCACTTCCATTATCCTAAAAATTGTTCATGTGTTTAAGTTTTGAATCGATCCATCTCGATGTTTGAAATTCAAATTAGAATCGAAATCAATATCTTATAAGATTTTCTATTAATATTCGGAGTTGAGATGAAGTTCGCTACATTCTAATATGAAAATAACAACTAGTGAAGAGTTTTGTAAGACGAAGTTGATATTGTATGTCTCTTTGTAAATTTTTATTATATAAAGGACTTATAAAAATCCAAAATATAGAAAAGAGTGTAGAGAAACGAATGGTTGTAGACAATATTAAAGCAAAACATGCACCAAAAGAAGTTAAAATAGATATTGTTATAGAGGAGGTTACTCAAGCTTGATTTATTGATTTAATGAAAAATGAGCGAACAACACGAAGAAAACAGGAGAGAGAAAAAACAAAAGAAGAAGAGAACAAACAAATGTTTACCAGCGTTCTACAGGTAGTCGTGGTCATGAGTATGAATACTGAGTGTTGATGAACTTCGTCACAAATGTATGAACAAAACGATTGATAATGATGGACAATAATGTCTAAAGAATAATTAAACAAAAAGCAATTCAAATAAAACATAGATCGAGATTGTTTTCACTTTTTGTAGACCTATGATATCAGATATAGATATAGAAAATATCAGCACAGGAAATATAGATAGGAATGGGTTACAGATATAAGAAATATTTATACGTCTCGCATATCATCTAAATTTTTGTTTTTCCAAAAAACTTTATCTGTATTTCATTCTAATTACTTCGCCATTAGTAATACGAAGAAAGTAAAAAACATTTTACCCGATAGGTTACTTTAAACATGAATTTAGCAGATTAGTATATGATAGGAAAAATATTAAACTTCGAGTCTAAGCCAATAGAGAATTAACTGAGAAATTTCTTTCATGAAAACACAATTTAACATAATAGTCTATTTGAAAAGTTAGTTCTGTACATTTTCCGCGTTAGAATTATTTTCAAAAATATTCAAAAACAAATATATATATATAATAAACCATTAAAGGTCTTATTCAGATCAGTCTAAACAAGTGATTTTTGTCGGATAGTAGCGAAAGAATAAATTCAAAACTTTTGATTTTCATATACATCTTGATGATATGATAATCAATACCTATCTCTATTTTTTTCTCTAATAGATAATCTATTCGTACGATACCTTCGTAAATGGTTTGACTTCTATTCCGTACAAAAGAATCATCAGAAATCTGAATGATGTCCAGTGTAACTCTATTATTTTTTTTATTTTGTTAAATAAAATTTTTTGAAAATTTTTATAATGAAACGTTTTTAGAGTTCTTGTTCACCTGGATCATGACCATGTTTGTTTTTCTCTCATTTGGTTTTGACTAGTACTATGGACTGCTTTCCGAATACTATCAAATGAAATCATAACAATTTCAAAGCATCAATATCTAGCAGAGATAATACTGGTTTATTGCAGCCTTGGCTTCTATCAAAATGGCACGGAGAGCGAACAGCGAAATTTTAACTGTCTGTGATTTTGGTCTCGATGGATTATATTCCAGCGTTTCTGTACCTTGGCTGACATCATAAGTATAGTTTACTCAGCTTTTGAAAAGAATGATTCAATTATATGCGAATTAGAAATGAAAACGAACTGGGTTTCATTAGTTTGAGTTCGTTTCATTTTCCATCCCTGATCCAAAGCATAATTTGAATAAGGCGAGATGAATACTGAGAATTAGGTTTACAACTGAAGAATTAATAGAAGACAGTATAACATTAGATGGAATCAACTAGTTTGTAAGAACATTAAGATACATTAAGCACAAAAAATGAAAGTGAAGAGGTAATGACAACGAAGTCCAATAAGGTACTTATTGGACAAGAGTTGATATTAGGGAATATATGGATTGATCAGGTAACAATGCATCATCTGTCAGACGAACATGAAAGCTAAATAGTAATAAAAGATTTATACATTGGATCGAGCCTATCCTTCGGCAACCTAGGATAGACTGAAACCCATCCAAACCTAATGACTCTGCTGTCTATACAAACAAATATAGCCGATATGTTACGAAGAGAGAAAAAGCAACTGTGCCACACGATAATTAATTTAAATACGCAGATAATCAATCAATTCTTTTTACTCTTTCCCAACGACAACACATTTTTATAAAATTGATGGTAGTCCAATCGACCATTTCTTACCCAACGTTTTGCTGCGCTCGACTCCTCTGTTCAAAAAACGGTTCAGTTCGTTTTCGGTCTCCGATACGGAATATTATCTATTATCAAATTTTGCTACATGTGTGCTATATGACAAGAATATTTGTTCTTTTTCGTATATTTTGGCTTCCAGTTAAAAGCTTTTAAAACTATAGAATTTTGTACAGGATTCAGTTTCTTTTAAAACATGATTTTTCATAGATGTCCTAATATCGTTACACTGCGTAACGACATTTCAACGTCATAATAATCATCAAAATCATTTTGACCTATTATCCTAATGCGTACCGACTTCGATACCCAAACATATAACTATATGTTATAAGTTGTGGAATTTGAGTTGTTTTGTCGTATTGTCCTAATGCGTAACGACTTCAATATCCTACGATGTAACTATATGTTATGGTATTGAAGTTATTACGCATTAGGATAATACGACAAAACAACTTAAATTCCTCAACTTATAGCATATAGTTATATATTTGGGTATCAAAGTCGTTACGCAAAAGGTAATAGACTGAATGTGTGGGAAACGCTTGATAAGCTCCAAAGAATACTTGTTAGGTTTGTATGTAGAAAAAGTCGTTACGCGGTATAATGGGATTATGCCATCATACGGATTTTTTTCTAATTAGCGTTAATGAAATTTGAAATTAAATGACTCAGTTACTTGATATGCTTTCTTCTAGAGTAATAGTCAGAACGATGTACAGCTGATAAACACTAAAATATGGTGACTACTGTACTTATTTATATAAAAAAGTAGTCGTGACAAATACTATCACCCAGACAAAATGGTAAAAATACGTCTTATCAGACGTCAGCAAACAGTCGAACAAACTGTTCATAAGTTCAAAAAAATAAAGGAATATATAAAGTTTTATTGTGATTTCGAAGTTATATCTGATCTGTAGAGGCAACGCACAAATGTTATCAGATTATAACAATTTTCAAAAGCGAAGTTATGAGTGATATCAGCTACAATTTACTGAGCATTAGATTTATTATGTTGTATTGACTTCATATTTGATTTGTATTTGTGAATATTCATATAGTGTTGAACAGCTTGTCAACTTGACAATTGCCATCAACTTTAAATCCAAGATACATTAGTTTTTCGAAATTCCGAATGTTTTCGTTCGGAAGGAAATGCAATCATTGTTCCATATTTTTAATGTTGGATCTACAATAGTTCAACTTCGATTTCAAACAGAAGATATTGTACATTTTTGTTAATAAAAGAGTTCCTAAATATAATACTCAGCTATTTATTATCAGAAACACGTACAGAAAGCTAGACAAGTATCTAGATATCTACTTATTGTAGTTCGTTTTTTTCTATTTGTGCAACTACAATAAAGAATAGAATATTTTGGTTTATATCAGTGGAGAGCCTGAGCATTTCTTTGACTTATCAGCCGATTATTGGAATATTTCTCTAGGAAAACTATCAGTACGAATTATGAAAGTAACAGTGTTAGTTTTTTGAAAAATTGGCTCCTATATCCACTGTATTTGATGATTCTTGTACAAAAATAGTGTGCCGATATTGATGACACGGCTCGATGATTCTCCTTTCTTCTCTGTCTGTTCTCTTTCCGTTGTTCTAATATATCACTCTCCTGTCTGTGCTGATATTGATGACACGGTTCGATGATTCTCCTTCCTTCTCTGTCTGTTCTCTTGCCGTTGTTCTAATATATCTCTCTCCTGTCTCTCTTCTATCTCTCTCCTATCTCTCTCCTATCTCTCTCCTATCTCTCTCCTATATATATGCGTATTATGTATGAAGTTGTTACACTCTGGATATGTGAAATAGCTGAATAAACATCATTGCCGAGAATGGCGAAAAGCTATTCAATCCAGTTTGTCGTTACAAATAGCCCATGTCAATAATTCTGACGGGATGTTCCAGTGACTTTTCGACAGGAACGGACCCATATATATTCACCTGAAAGAGTAAACTCAAGAGAATGGTTCCGAAAGTTTGTAACAAGAGGTTAGATTACCAATTCTTATAGAGAGCAAAGTAAAGAATAAGGATTGGTCGTTGAAAACAAGAAAAAACTTCTATTTTTTTTTGTTCTTCTCATGCAACTCGAGTGATACGAAAGCGATTGTACTTGTTCAAGTAGTTTTTTACTGCGTCTACGCATATGTCGAATAACCGCATAAATTTGAAAGAATGAAGGAATATTAGAAGAACGCTTATTTGTCTTAGATTTCTAATACTA